TGGGTACAGGCTATAATTACTTTTAAAAATGTTATATAATTTTCAATTAATGAACATTTCTTGCTCTGTCAGTGCAAGACGAATGTACATACATACATATGTAGATACATATGTATGTACTTACATAGATGTGCACATATGTATGGACATTCACACATTAGTGTCTCACATTTTGCTTTGGCTATTTCAATCGTTTGCACGCAACTACACGAACAGCTGCTTGCATGTGTGTGTGTGTATGTGTGTGTGTGTGTGTGTGTGTGTATCCTTAGTTGTCCCCAACTGTTTGATATTTTGTATTGTTTGTTCTGCCTGCTTTTGTAAAATGCATATTTTGAAAATCCTTGAATGCAAAGTTGTAGATTTAGTTACGTAGATTACATTACCCAAATTTTAAATCGATCGGACTAAATATATAACACAAACTTTTCATTTGAAATAGTGAATAAATATTAAAACCCCAATAATTCAAGCTCGAAAATCTAAGTATGCAGTTTTGTTTGTATTCTTTAATTGATTTTAGAAACTAAGTTTTAAGTCGATCGGTTGAAAAATGCGGATTTTTCAAACAAACTTTGGAGCTACTTTTCCCCCTTTGGAGCTCGAATTTTCCAAAATCCCTTCTTAGTGCGCATCTACACCATGATAGGATACTTGAGCCCAAATTTCAGCATCCTAGCTTTTACCGTGTGGCTGTGGGCTGCTTTTGTGCCCCAACATTTTTTTTACAGGATAACTCCCATATTTTGGGCCCCAAAAAAAAATATCAGAAAACCAAGTATACAGTTTTTCTTGGAATTGTTCTGAGAGTATACTTGAAGTTAATCAGATGAAAACTGTAGATTTTTCATACAAACGTTGGAGCCTGTTTTGCCCCCTTTGGAGCTCAAGTCCCTTCTTAGTGGGCACCTAGACTATGAGAGGTTACTTGAGTCCAAATTTGAGCTTCCTAGCCTTTACCGTTTGGGCTGTGCGTTGATCATCAATCAGTCAGGCAGTCAGGACAAACTGTTTTATATATATAGATCATCTACTGTTGTTTTATCCAATTCGGTCAATTGTAAGAAAAGTTATTAGCGAAACAAATTCTCTACAGTACAACCCCCCCCCCCCCCCCCCCCCCCCAAACTGCAGCAACAAGTTCGTCCTTCTTCTTCCTGACGGAAGTTTACTTGGGTACAGGGTATTACACTGTCGGGCTTGCTCGACTGTAGCGTTCTCTCTTGTTATTTTATTTATTTTACTCAGAATATTAACAATAATTCTGTCGATTATATTATAAAACTTAATATAGTATAACAATTTAAACTAAACTTAAAAGATAAGAAAGCCTAACATAAAGCTGTACAATGACGTCTATTAATGCCTCCGACACGTTTGGGGAATTTTATTTGCCAGTTGGCCAGCTATGCCCCGATTCACAGCAATATGTGGTCAGAGACATTAAAGACCTAAAATGATGAATCGCCGGACATTGCTATCCTGTACCCGGCAAAAACAATTGATGACTTCAAGCAGTTAGCACGTCGATGTGTTAAGTTACGCCAAGTTCTTGATGCAGCAAAGAAGAAACCAATCGCAACCAAAACCCTTAGCATGTTGCGGTGCTACAATTGTTCAGCCTATGGTCACATGTCACCAACTTGTACGGCTCCGAAAAGGTTCCAGTGCGGGTCAACACATTATTTAATCAAGGATTGCAAAGTAAAGTCATCAGCTCCTAATAAATCGATCGCTTTGGCAGGAGACCCCAACAAGTTGGAATTTGAACGGGCAAACACGGTCCCAGAAGAAATATCCATATTGAGTTCGGTAAGAATCATTTTTGACATTGCCACATCGCATTCTCCTAAAACTTGCCCATCTCTTTTTGACACCGGTAGTGCTATTAGTTTGATCAGACAGTCGGAGCTCCCCGCCCATTAGTGAATTAGCCTTGAGAGTACTTCATACAAAGGCCTAGGAAATTGTCGTGTAGGCCCCTATGGGAAGATTTTGGTTAAAATTACATTTTGCAACATTACAAATGAAGTATTACTTTATGTTGTACCTAACAGTTACTAGCCGTGTTCAGTTCTATTAGGAAGAGATTTTTTGAAAACTTTTAATTTAAAATTATTTTTGCATGAAAAAAAATCACCAAATATCGAAATTGCGGAAAATAAAAATGGCTGAAAATTTTGAAAGTGCTATATTGAATATCAATATTGATGATATTGACAATTGTATTATTAACCCACTGTTGGATAAAAGTAAAGAGAAAGTTATTGTTAGCACCATTGTTCAAAATTATTTACATTCCAAAAATATACCTAAAGTAGAGCACGAATATGATATGAAGATAAGAGTTCAAAATGATACCCCAGTGTTTTCAACGCTACGTCGAATTTCATATAATGATCGAACGGAAGTAAACAAAATTGTAGAAGAGTTGCTTTCTTTGGGTCATATACGTGCTAGTTCATCTCCATATTCATCAGCAATTGTATTGGTAAAGAAAAAGAGTGGCGAAAAAAAATGTGCATTGACTATCGACAATTGAATAAAATAACAGAGATATGGATACCCACTCGCTCGCATTGACGATTGCCTAGAAAGATTAGAAGGAAATTCATACTTTAATATATTGGACTTAAAAAGAGGATTCCACCAAGTTAAAATGGCTCCGGATTCTATTAAATACTTTTGTCACGCCAAATGGGCAACAGGAAAAAATGTCATTTGGATTGAAAAACTCACCTGCTATCTTTCAGCGTTTAATCAATTTTGTTCTTCAGCCAATTTTAAAAGAGGGTAACATTTCAGTTTACATGGACGATATTGCTATAGGTACAAAGACATTTGAAGATCACGAATATTATTAGGAAAAGTATTGAAACGTTTATCAGAATTTGGATTGGAAATAAAACTAAAGAAATGTAAATTCTGCTTTTCAGAAATCGATTTTCTAGGGTTTACAATTAGTTCCAATGGCATATCTCCAAATCATGAGCACACATTGACTATTCGACATTACCCTATACCAAAAAATGCGCGCGAAATCTAAAAGTGCCTGGGTCTGGGTCTTAAAAATTTGACAAGGCCAGGTGTTCCATTTGAATTTTCAGTTGATTGCTTAAAAAGCTTAAATTTTTTATGTACAGCATTTTCTTCGCAGCCAGTGTTAGGTCTATACAATCCGGAAAAACAAATCGAATTGCACTGTGAGACGCCAGTGCAGATGGTTTTGGTGGGATTTTATTCCAAAAACAGGACGATGGTAAATTTCACCCAGTAGCTTATTTTTCTCAAGCAACAACAACTACAAAATCCAGATGTCACAGTTTCGTATTAGAAACATTGGCCGTGATATATTCACTAAGAAAGTTTCTTTACAGATTGTAATGCAGTGTCATTAACATTGAACAGGAAAAGTGTAAGTCCTAAATAGCACGATGGGTAGACGAAATAGAAAAAAAGTACAATAAGTTGGTGCTTTGAGCCTTTGGTTAGCATTGAAGACAATCGTTTTGATGAGCAGGTCATATCTCTTCTAGACATCGATAATGCAGTTCTTCAATTACAAATTACGCAAAATAGACACGAAAATATATCAAAATTGAGAGACCAACTCGAAATCAAAAATGTAAAATCTTTTGTGATTGAAGATGGACTGGATTATAGAAAAGTCAAGGATGATGTGTTATTATTGTACGTACCAGCGGAAATGGAAACCAATATCATTCGAAGCGTTCATGGAAAACTTTGTCATATGGGCTCCACCAAGTGCATTGTCGAAATTAAACCGCTTTATTGGTTTCCAAATATGGAGAGCAAAGTTGAACATTTTATAAGAAATTGCTTAAAATGCGTAATGTTCAGTGTACCAAAACCAAAATCATCGCACACTTCATAATATTCCCAAGGTCGCAATATCATTTGATACTATACACGTGGATCATTTTGGTCCGTTGCCATCTATTTTGTCTAAAAAGAAGCACATATTTGTCATTATAGACGCATTTACCAAATTTGTTAAACTTTATTCCGTTAATTCAACAAGCACAAAAGAGGTTAATGGATGTTTGAGTAAATACTTTGAGTATTATAGCCGACCGAGACGAATTATAAGCGATAGAGGAAGTTGCTTTACATCTGTGGAGTTTAATTAGTTTAATAACAATATCGAGCATGTAAATGTTGCCACAGCATCGCCGCAGGCCAACGGCCAAGTGGAGCGTATAAATAGAATTTTAAAAAGGATGCTAGCAAAAATATCGGAACCTATCCAACACTCTGATTGGTACAAACTATGCAGTAAAGTTGAATATGCTATTAACAACTCAGTTCAATCAAGTACAGGTCAAACTCCAGCTATTCTATTATTTGGTTTGCAACAAAGAGGTTGCGACATCGTTAACCTTAGTGAATATCTTGACGGAAAAACAAATTCTTATCATAATTTAAACAATGTTCGTAAAGCATCATTTGAAAAGATTAAAGACAGTCAGGAAAAAAGTGCACAATCATATCAGAATCGTCAAACCCATAAGCCTCATAGGAGATTTTAATTTTATTCAAAATATAAAGGTCCTTATATCATTAAAAAAAATATTCCCTAACGACAGATATGTTCTAAAAGATATTGAAAATTGTCAACTAACATAAATCCCGTACGAAGGAATAGTAGAAGCATGTCGAATGAGAGATTGGGCAGACTGGCGAGATAATGTCAAAGATAGTTCCGAAAACATTCAGTCATTGCTAAATGATAATTAATATTATGTGTTGCTTATTTTGTAGTGGACAAGGAATTTGTTGGGTTAATGTTTAGGCAACTAAGCAACCCTAGCAAATTCAAAAACCGTTTACGTTCCCAAATGCTCTCCCTCTCTCATTCGAAGTTAGAGTAGAAATATTCAGCTGCTGGAAAGATCCCGTTAGGATTCTCTCTCACAATGCAAAGAGTATGTACGTTGCAAAACGATTCGCAGTCGTTGGTTCTTTCTGATTTCAACTGGCAAGTGACGCAGACGTTCCTACGAAACAATATTACAAGCAAAGTGCAAGTTTTATTTTAATGGTGAAAATTACATAAATTACATATAAAATACTGCGGAAACTCTACCGTCGACGACTGAAAACCTCTGGCGTTGGTTTGAATTTCGCATCGTTGCCTCGTATAGTGAGGAATCTCAGCAGTGGATATACATACATAAATATTTGTGCGAGACTCAGCATAGGAAAGTGCCAAGATAAAAACCTTGTGGCCCTCCGCGACTCGTCTCTTTCACATATGAATACATCGGAAATATTATCGGCAGTGTCCCAGACAGATAGTGGTAATATTTTCCTTACCAAAATTTGCTTGAATTACATAATTTAATTTCGTACAGGCACCAGTTGCAGTTATTCGGACATAGTCCACGTGTAGATGTATACACATAACCTGCACTTATTACATATATGTACATAAGTACATAAATTCAATGCCAACCCTAAGCAACGTGTGGGAGCTGGACAACCGAGTGCAAGCGAGACACCACGATCGGTTTTCTCATACACAGTGCAAATGACTTGAGCACTACTTTTTTCTTTTCTTTTGATTATAATTCTTACCTAAATTTTCATATACTTTCTTACGTTTCATATACTACTTTTCTTTGTTCGTATTTTTGCTAACATCCAAGTGATGTAGTCTTTAAATCAATTTCGTTTTTCCAATTTTAATATTTCATATATACATAATTAACTATTGTTATTAGAGTTTAAGCATAATTTGATTTATTTTGTTCCATGAAAGCTTAACGTAATTCCTAGTGCTCTTGCTCACAATTTAATATGCCTCGGAAATAGTATAAGCTACTCCCTTTTTGTTTTATATACGAGTATATAGTAGTAACTACAGCACTCAGCAACACCAACTGCGTCTTCTTTGGGCCCAACGTGCGCACGTCGATGGTTTTGCTTGTGAGTAACACTTTTAAGTTGAAATTTTATGAAGTCTTGACACTTTTGGAGTCGACTCATATATATCTATTTTCGTGGCACATTTGAAGCAAGAATGATTTAAGTGAATAATATTTTCCTTATTTATATTATATCCATATATCATGGCAAAACAAGACGTAATTTCAGCCTTATATTTTTGTACAATTCTTTGAAGTTTGAATAACTCATCATGTTATTAGAATAAATTTGCATAAGACATAAACCACAACCATGACTAAAGTATATCAGAAGGATCAACCATAGCGGCCTAGTCTCTGTATAGGAGCAATTCTTAACAATATTTACCTCCCCGAATTGCCAAGGTGGGTGGGTGCAGACGAGGATATGGACAACTCCATCTAGTTCCATATAACTTTCCGTAGCGCCGCGTAATCTCTCTTCTTATCAAAGCCGATGGGTCATCGATCAATAGGACTGGTTCCTTGAGACCGCAGTTCACTTTGAGTTTGCTTTGATTGTTTTCTTGTATTGATAAGTTTCGTTTTGAGTAGATTCAGTTCCCGTGCACTTATTTTTCTTAGTATACCAGTGTGTTAAGAGGCGTAGGAGGGAGAAAGATCCCCGACCCCTCTCATCCTACCCTCCCCAGTGTCGATGATGGAGAGAAATAGGCCATGGACCCGGCAGTACGCAGTATATAGTAAGGGCCAACCTGGAGCACCACCCATCGACATTGTATTGTGCAACAACAACACCAGTTACACGTTATCATTACCACCACCGCCGCATTATCATTAGGGTGATAATGGCGGCCAACGTGTTGCACGAAGGATCATACATTATGGATATTACAATTTTGATACAATTAATAATTTAAGTATAACTCTTAAGTACAAATGTAAAATATCAGAAAGTAACTTTTATATTTTGATCGAGACGATCAAATGGTCAGAATGGCCGAGTTGTTGTGGTATGGTTATCGATGTTAGTCCACTCCAATGTAATTAAGTTATCAATATAAGAAGTATGATCACTAAATATTCATTCAACGTTAGAGACAAGCAAGAGCAACACCTAACTTCATATTCTTTCATTAAAGAAACTATTAATTAAGTTAAGCGCCCGCATTCATCATTTATTGGAGGTATAACACGTGCTATATTTATACTTCCCTAATAATGTAAAATGATTTTTATGTGTGTTAATTACACCTTTTAATTCCTTTATTGTGTCATGGCCAACAATGCCATCGAATGTCTTAAGATTAGGTAGTATAAAATATTTTTGCTTGTTTATGTTGTTACCAAAAATATCTATATAAGCATGATGAGTAATAACATAGTTTTTATTTGAATCTGTATCTGTCAAAAATTTTAGTTTGTTTCCATTCCTCATTTCAAACTTATAGTAAGATAATGAGCAGGACGCTAGTCTAAACAAGAGAGAACGCTACAGTCGAGCAAGCCCGACAGTGAAATACCCTGTACCCAGATAAACTTCCGTCACTGAGTTATATGCGCCCATAGCAAAAAGAAGCAAAACGAGGAAGAAGAGCGAACTTGTTGCTGCAGTTTGGGGGGGTTGTACTGTAGAGAATTTGTTTCGCTAATAACTTAGAATCTTAGAATTAACCGATTTAAATGAAATTTGAATCAAAAGTAGACTATTATGTATTAATTATGTGTGCAAAGTTTGGTTAATGTAGCTTTTGAAATGTGGACAGTATTGGCGAAATTCTGTAGGGTGAAAAGGGGGGAAAATTCCACAAAATAAAATAAACTCGTTCTTTCTCGGACCTAGGAGAATCTGGATACCAGCCTTGGTTGTTCGAGCTTTTATATTTTCTGAGATCCTTGCGTTCATCCAGACAGACAGACGGACGGACATGTCTAGATCGATTTCTCTCTTCATGCTGATTCAGAATATATATACTTTAAGGGGTTGGAGATGCTTCCTTCTGCATGTTACATACTTTGCACAAACCTAATATACCCTTTTTACCCTACGGGTACAGGTATAAAAACACAAAAGTTTTCAGAAATTATGCCATTTCACTGAAATTTGTTTAGCCGAATAATTATAGCCTGTACCCAAAGGGTAAGAGTCTATACTAGTTTGTGCGAATGTAACAGGCAGAAGGAGGCGTGGCAGACCCCACAAAGTATATATTTATTCTTGATTAGGGTGGCAAGTCGAGTCGATATAGCCATGTCCGTCTGCTTAGCGTTAGGATCTCAGAAGGTACAAGAGCTAGAATTACTAAACTTGGTATCCAGGTTCCCCTGAGCCCTAGGCAGGTCAAGTTTGTTTGGAACCACTCCGTAGTTACCCGAGATCGATGCACCGAGTCGTTATCTTCTTGAAAAGCCAAGTCTTCGTCATCATGTTCCTCCAAAAACTGAATTAATACATACTCAAGAACCGCTGTATACATAAAGCAAATTTTTAACTTTCCGTGAAAAGAAAATTGCACCCAGCGAACATATAAGGCTTAGTTAATTGAGGCGGCTTCTTAATTATACTCTGTACATGAAATGTACAAGAGTATATTAGGTTTGCGGGAACTAAAAAATGTAACAGGCGGAAGGAGACGTGGCAGACCCCACAAAGTATATATATTCTTGATCAGCGTGACAAGAAAGTATTTGACTGAAGTTGAAAAAGTGGCAATTGCTGCGTATAAGGATAGTGGTCTTAATAATTGTCAATTTGCAAAGAAAATCAATCGATCAGAGAAAGTATTGGACGTTTTTTGAAATTTAAGGAAAATTATGCTAAAAAGCCTCCAACCAAAGGCAATACTAAAGTTTGGGCACTTCAAAAAGGTCTAATCCGCTCCGTAACAACTAAGCAAGAACTAAGTCCTGCTCAAATTGTTGACTCTTTTGCATTACCTATTACAAAACGACGCGTTCAAAATATTTAGGAATCTTCAGATCACAAAGTTTACAAGAAAACAAGTAAAAAAGCTAAAGTCGGGTGTCCCGACTTTGAAATACTCTGTACATACATGTACATGTATAGAATAATTAAAGAAATTAACAAAAATTAAATAAATAAATAAGAAGAAAAATTTGATCGATTTTACCTCTCTCGGTATTCGAACTCAGGTAAAGGGTGTATAATTGCTCATTTACTATTGCGCGTCTATTCGTGTCTGTGTGAGCATGTTTGCAGTCAAATAAAGCTCGAGCATCAACAACAGCTGCGGGCAGCGCTTGGGCAGCAAATATATTTATGGCTAGAACTTCCTGTTAAATCGGTCTTTCAAAGTGAAACTTTGCATACGGACACAAAATCCCTAACTGCAAAATTTGATGGGGAGAGGGAGGCAAATTCCAAAATACACATTTTCTGCGTATTCACAAATGGCATCTTGGACAGTAGTGCCAAAAATCCCAGCACATCTGCCTTTATGGCTGGTCATGGTATTAGCAGCTGCGAGTTTCCCACTTAAGAAATTAGGTTACGTAGACATTGAATAAAAACTTGACAAATCATCAAGTAATAGTATGCATGTAAGGCAGTTAAAAAACAACACCCACAATAACAAGAAAGCGAAGATGTCAATAAGAAGTTTGTTGTTGATACTTTATTCATCGTGTTAGCTACACAATACGCTGCTCTCATCCATTTTAAATTCTTAAATACCAAATTTTTAAACAGCTAGCGTGACATTACCTATTTTTGATGTGCCATCTATGCACAGTGGTCTTTGTTGTATGGAGATAATTGCCAAAAATACTTCCGATATGATATCGACTTGAAAATTTATGTATGAGTATAAACAAGATAGAACGCTACAGTCGAGGAAACCCGACAGTAGTCTGTCTGTATGAGCACAAGGATCTCAGAAGGTACAAGAGCTAGAGTTACCAAACTTGGTATCCAGGTGCCCATAAGCCCTAGGTCAAGTTTGTTTTTTTATTCAGATACACCACCCATTCCCCCGCTATTTCTGTTTTTTTATAACTTCCGTAATTCTTAGAAGTTATAGCCATAAATAAAATCGCTGCCTATGCTCTGCTTGTAGCTCTGCCCGCAGCCGTTGTTGTTGCTGCTTTGGTTCAACTTTGTTCTGCATACATACACGCTTATAAACACGCAGAGACACGATTGATGTAAATGTATGCTGTTAAAACTGTACATGAACATGTCTCCATTATCGTATATATGTATTGAATAATTTATATTTAATTTAATTAAACAATTTAATTAATATAACTTTATTAATCATTAATCAATCTTTACTAATAGTAAATCCTAAAAATTCTAAATTATCTTTCATAAATTCGCATTTATCCAATTGGACTTCGAGATTTGCATTTTCGAGTGTCTCGAAGACTAAACGCAAGTTCTTGAAATGTTCCTCTTTTGTTTTTCCAAATATAATGATATGATGGGAGTCTTAAAAATTCCAATTTCCCGTTTTTTTGTTTATATTGAAAAGCTGTCTTTTCAATATCAAAATCTTTTATTTATTTATTTATTGTTGATTACTTCCTAGTGCAACAAGTGGAGTTACTTATATGTTAAAGCACTAGTCACATAAAGAGTTTTACATATGTACTAGATTAGTTAGTTTTTAATGAGTTTATATTGAAATTTGAGACAGCGAATTAAAATTCTAATAATAAATAATGAAAATCTAAGTTTAATAAAATTTCTATTTTTCTTAATACTAAATTACATTCTAGAATCTATATATATAAAACAGTTTGTCCTGACTGACTGACTGATTGGCAATCAACGCACAGCCCAAACGGTAAGAGCTAGGAAGCTGAAATTTGGACACAAGATCCCTCTTATAGTGAAAGTGAGCACTAAGAAGGGGTTTCGGAAAATTCGAGCTCCAAAGGGGGGAAAAGTAGCTCCAACGTTTGTATGAAAAATCTACAATTTTTATCCGATTAACTTCAAACTTAGTTTGTATACTCTCACAAAGAATACAAAAAAAACTGTATAC